AGAAAGGATTTGATTTTCACTATGATTTTCTAAAAATTTCTTGAGGTTTGGTTTCTTGCATTCATTTTTAATCTCTCAAATGCATCTAAGACTTCCAGCAGCTTTCTTGTATGCTCCAGTATCATAGCCTTTCAGGCCATTTCTGAAGTGAGCTGAAGAATTTGAACCTAAAATTTCAATATACTGCTTATTTTAATTGAAAAAGTCCTTGCTCCATGTATATGAAAGGACTTAAGTCACATCAACACTCATCCCAACTCCTTAATGTCTATGTATCCACCGCAGGTCTCAAAAACTCATGATATTTTCCTCCACAGCATGTGGAGAGGCTGAAGTGTTGAGCAATCGGACTCAACAACAGCTTGCATACTGAGTCAGATCATGGGCCATCAAAGCTGGTCAACAGGAAACTCAAAAGAGGGTTGGGGGGGTTAAACCAACTCCTCCCCACTGTATAGGTACCCACTTGCACAGCTGTAGGAGGGGTGGCAGGATTTTAGGTATCTAAATCACTTCATCAGGAAAAATGTTGGTGTCTGCATACCCTCAGATGCCAAAGTGGATTAGGCAAGATTTTGTAGATCATAGTCTTGATCTTGGCCAGCTAAACTTGAAGTTTCATTTTAAGCGTATTACTGTTAGGGTTTGGGATTTTTTTTTTAATGAGGCTGACCATTTATCTTGCTTTGATTTCTCAGTATGTGAACTGAGGAGAAGGTTCAAGGTGTTTGAAGGTTACTCCCAAAGGTCTATCCAGTCCTTCCAACATGTGCAAGTGCTTTGGAAAGTCAAATGATTGCATTGATATTCAAAGATTAGAATATGTGTGAGACCCAGATATAGCACTTGCCAAGCTGTTGGAAAAAGGTAGAAGGAAAAACACCGGCTCCCTGTCCGCATATTCAGGCTAATGAGTCCTGTATGAAGCAAACGTCAGTTGTTCAAACTGGTGTCTAATTTAATAAATACACTCAGTTTTGGCCTTGGTTGGGTTTGGGGACAATTCATGCTGTAGCAATTCAAGCTGACTCTTTTCTCTGTCCCTGCCCAGAGAGTTGAGCAGAGCCAAATTTAGAAAACAGACCTTTGGGAAAACGGGCTCTTGCTCGGGACAGCATGCAGAGCCCAACGTGCCAATGCCAGAGCCCTGAAAAATGGTCTTGCTGTCCCTGCAGCTGGGCCGTTCCTCATGGCAGCCATCTCTCCTCCCACATCCAGCGGCACTGGCTCCACGTCTCCAGGATCAGTGAGTTGTATCAGGATCCTTGGCATCTACCTACACTGCCGTGAGCCCCGAGCCAGCTCTAACGCGGAGTATGAACAAACATTTCCCTCCATCTCATGTGCCCTCTTTCTTACAGCAACATTTCCAGAGCCACAGGCCAGCACAAACCATTATATCATCTGGTCTGACTCCAGCAATAATACAGGTTACAGTTTGCTCACTCATTTCCCTTTTAGTCTAATGCATAACTTTATCAGTTTCTTAAGCTACCAGAGTTAGTTTGTTAGATCATTAGTGAGTCAGGCAACGGGTAGGACCTTTGCAGATGGATTTTGGTAAGTCAAATTTGGCAAATTTCATTAATGATGCACTCCAGCAGCAATACGTTCTTTGTTCTCCCTTTCTTTAAAGGGCATGAAATTAGTGAATCAGCTTTAACTGTATTTCTTGTCAGCATGTCACAACCTCAGTGTCCTTTTAATTGTGTAGGAGCCTTGAAAGTGTGTTATTTGGATTCAGTACTGAATTTGAAGGAAGCATGAAGTGTTTTTCTGGACTTCAGCACTGCCACTTATTCACACCTAACAAATGCAAAGCCATTAGGAAACAGCTCCTCTGGAATGACCCCATCTATAAAGAAGTGTTAAGAAAAAAGGACTTTTTCCCACTGGGCAGGAATACTGTAGCAGTTCTGATGGCAGAAATGGAGCATCACTCTTTTTCTGTTCCATGTTTCAAATGCAGCCATCACTGTAGTATCTAGGCATCAGTAAGAGAACTAGGAGGACTGAAATTAAAGAAGCTGATCTGAGCTGGGTTAAATACTGCCTGCATTGATGGCCTTGCAATTTTTGGTCCAGGCATTTGTCAGGAGCAAGGGATGGGTTTACATTTCAGTATTTTTTGATGCATAAATATGAAGGAGGTACTGTGGGAAAATATAGACCCATAAATTTGGTTATTTTAAAATTATCTATGTATTTCAATCCAAAGGAAAAAAACATGTCAAGAACATGAAGTAACAGAACTATCATTAGTACTTCAGTATTTTTTAATACCATGCAGGGAGCAGGAGCTTGAACCCTGAAGTTCCATCACACACTTATTAGACAATTTTTAAGACGTGTTGTGGCTTCAAAATGTCTTCCAGAAAGATAGAGGTTATTAAATTCAGAATAAATTTAGAGTCAGTTAAAATCAGTTAAATTCCAAGTGTGCTCTGAAGTCAGAACACAAGCTATAACACCATCATCGGACCAAGCTGTAGTCATTCGAGTATCTCATCAGCTGGTGTTCGGGTTGCAAATAGCTGGATGCTGTGCTCGAGAGAGTCAGATTTTCAATCCTCTCTTCTCACTCTCCAGATCGGTGTCTAAATCTGGGAGTTACTCCCACACCTCACATATAGAGTCTGCCTGGGCTATGGTTGCTTATTAAAGGGAAAGCTGCCATTACAGCTGCTCTGATGCAAATCATTCATATCTTTGGCCTCGCCCAGATGTAAAACATCAAAGAAGCTGAATTACACTGTACGTTTACTGTCTTCTTCAGTGTATCCACCACACATGAAAGAGACCCAGTAACAACCCTTGAAACTGTAGTATTCTGTCTTGTATGCAGAGAGCTGACACTCTGTGAGGAAGAGAAATGCAGGCGTTTTGTTTTTAAGATCACCTTTCCTATTTGCAAGAAGAAATGTTAAATTTGTTATAATGAAATATAAGTTAAACAAAGCCTTGCCTGGAAGATGCTTATTTACTAAATAAATTCTAGAGCAGGGGAATAGAACAAATGACTCACATAGAACAAACTTAAATCCTACACTGGGATAAACACTTCAAAACTAAACTCCATGATAAAAAATGACACAGGTTTGTAGGAGCCTTAGTTCCGCTGAGGATTTGGGCTTTTAAATCACCGAGAAGTTTAAAGATGTACTCTAGGTGAAAGAAATGAGCAAGAAACAAGCTACAGAATAAATCTGAAATACAGTCTGCATGTAGGAGTGTCTCTTCTCCTGACATACAGAATTTCAGCTGCAGTCAGTGAAGTCATAGGTATGTGGGAAGACTGAAGAGTCATACTACAGCAGTGGTTCCCAGCTGACTGGCAAAGTAGCCACTGTCACTTAACAGACTCAGTAAGTAATGCCAAAGAAGCTCAAAGGAAAGGGAGTTAAAATGCATCAAGTAAGAAGAAGAAGAAGAAGAAGGGAAAAAACCAAACACAAAAGCCCAGATCAAACCATTCTGCTAAGCTAGTGTCTATGCAAAATGTGGGATCTTGGAAAGGTCAGATGTTATTATCCAATGAAAAGTTAAAGGGCACTGAATAAAATGAATTGGTTGTTGTTCCAAAGCATCTAGACATTCTGGGAACTGAGCCAGTGTGAACGGCAAATGATCAAACAAAAATAATGCTGAGATTTCTGCTAGGAGAAAATGAGAATATTGCTGTCTTACAGCATTCTCCCATAGCTCAAACACCACCAAACAGGGAGCAGACCAATAGGTTATAAATGCACAGTAAAGATTTATTTGCTTAAACTGAGAGGTGGTGTGATCTGGTGGGATGGACCTCCATCCTTCAAGGGAGGAAACCTTGCTTGCTGGTTTCACTTCTGCTCCAGACTTGCTGTGGGGAAATTAGACCCTCCTTTTGAAGCAAGCAGTGAAATAAAATATTGAGGTGCAGGGAACAACTTTGTCTCTTTACTGGCATCAGTCTGCAACATCTTACTCTCCAAAGTGTCACTGACTCACTGAAATGGATTTTGTACACCCCCTCAAGTTAGTCTTCTAGCTCGCGTTGGTAGATGGGTTTAGGCTGAATTATGACTCTGTTGCTGGAGCATTGCGTTTAGGTTGTTGGTTTCAGGGAATTAGAGCTTGTCTCCAAAACTTCAACTTTTCCTCTCGCAAACCAAAGCTCAGTCCCTTAGGTCACACAACGAGCAAGGGGAACGTGCCAGCAGGAGGGACCGTTGACCAGGCTGTACGAGGGATGTGTCCTTTCAGAGAGGAATCTCACCAAATTATACACTTCTGGCTGAATCCTTGCCCCAGCGCTGGTCCCATATTGCTGGTCAGCAGGTTATAATGTTCTACAAAGCTACCTGCAGAGCAAGGGAGGAGAACAAGGTGTGGGAGGTGGTTTTGTGCATTCTTACGCAGCTCAAACAGGTCTGGAGTTTCTGTGATCACTCTAAGACCGAGCTACAGCTCCACCTAAGAAACAGAGTCCAGTCCTCAGTGGGCTGAGTAAATAAGGTGGCTTATTGCTCATACAACATTTTCACGGCTGCATTCAGGGATAATTAGACTTTGTTATATCTCCTTCAGTTTGGTGGGATTTTACACTAAGTGCTTGACTCATTAGTAACTTCAGTGCATCATCCCACTGCCCCTAACAAAGTATCTCATTGTTTGGAAGGAGGAATGATGTGGTGGAAAACTGCTTTCAACATCTTTTTTGCAGACTGAAAGATATTTGGTAACACACTTTAAACCTCCTTTCCTGCAACTGCAACTGCAGGAGAGAGGGTCTAGCTATTTGAGTTTTCAGATAATCAGTGCTGAAATGTTCAAGTACCACAATAAAGAGGGCATATATTTACTGAAGATAATATATTAATGCAAGGTTCTATTAGACCTCAGTTTTCAGGACGTGCCTTACATTTGTTAATTTAATATTAATTTGCATTTAGCAGCCCTAACGATTATATAGGTCAAGAAAACTAAAATATCTTTATTCTCTGGGGTTTTTATCTCCTTAGAGTACGCTCGGTTTGAGGCAAAAATCCATGACCTGCGTGAGCAGATGATGAATCACAGCATGAGTTCTGGGTCTGGCTCCCTGAGGACTAATCAGAAGAGGTCCCTGTATGTCAGGTAAGCAGAGAGAGCTTTCTCCTGGGAACATGTTGGCAGCTGCCTTGTCTATGCCCGACTTGTGTGCTGTGGGTTCAGCAAGGTGGGAAAGAAGTTTGAGAAACTGCATTGAATTGAACTGAGAAATGCATCAATCTTACAAGCTTAGCATCATTAATGTGAGAATTGGATAAAGCCCTATTGCTTAATCCAATCGTTTCAAGCCATTTGCAAAAAGCATTATACTTTTATAGTGATTTGGTTTTATGAGATGAAGATTTCTTACCAGTTGTCAGCTCTTTTGATAACGGAGATGGATATTGTGGTGTAGTGACGCATTGCGTTTCTCTGTGAGGTCTTGCCCAGACATGGAATGATTGTTCTCATACAGAGCACTTTTCCCCCAAGACCTTGTTCTTACAAAGCGAGGACTATTATATGCTATTCTAAATGCATGACAATCTGCTGCTATCCCCTTGTATATGTTTACCCTTCTATCAGTCTACGCTACAAAGAATTTCCCATCTACCTAGCAAGATCAAAGATGCAGAGGAAATGCTAAACAAGCTGATGTACGTAGCTTAAATGGGGTAGTGAATAACGTAGGAACTGCCTAACCGTGAGCCAGGCGGCAGCAGTGGTTAGAGTTTTGCCTTGACTGTGCAAGTCTATTGCCGTCATCATTGCTGGATGAAAGGCTGGGTGTTGCCCAATTGCCCCTAGAAAAGTTCTGGCTGTCACTCATGCCTTTTGGGACTCAGGGAGACTATGGGAATCCGTGCTGAATATTTTAATAATCTTAATAATGATGCTTCTCTAGGCTTTTCATTTTCATTCCCCCCCCCACCCCATGCTCAGCACATACTTTGAAATTCCTGACAGTCATGAAGTAGAGGGAAGCAATTTGTCAGCCTCCAGGCAGTGATAATTATTCATGGGGGAGCTAATCCAGGTGATAACATTGCAGAGATCCAATTAAGGCTAAATTCTGCATTTTGTCATTATGCCCTCAGCATGAAGGGGGAAGGTAGCAGAGAAGGAAGGGAAAACTTAAATGTTAGCATGGATGGTCTCATTCTAGTGGGCAGCGACCACACGAAGCACTAACTGGTACTGCTGCCACAAAGAGCAAGGACTGAAGGGGTATGGATCGCTGTTACCAGTAATCTTGCTGTCGGGCAAGGTCAGGTTGGAAACGTCATGGTTTTCAATTGTATCTCTAACCTTCTCTGACTTCTCTGGCTTTGTGTTTACTTCTGGAGCTATTCCACCTGCAGTAGGTTTTTCCAAACCAAACACAAAATGACTTTGCTGTCAAGAGCTTTGCTCAGCTCCCTGAATTTGCATTTTATGAAAAGCTACAGTCATTGGACATGTAGTGATAGATCCAAGCTTACTTCACTTGAGGTAAGCCAGGAACCCAAACTGTGGGGAACAACGGTGCAAAAAATCCACGCCAGCAACCGCAAGTCAATTCAGGCGTACATATAAAGGGCTAACATGGGGTCCTGAACAACTCACTGGTTTGAGCTGCAGCAAAGCTCAATTACCCCAGTATCAGATTCAACCTGCTAAGCCCCGCTGAGAACTGAGGCTTATTAGCTTGCACACTGAGCCAAGCTAATGTATCAGTGCTGCATCTGGGCTAGCTTAGTTCTTCCATACGGTATTGCTCTGTGTGCAACGATGAGCCTGGTTTTCTGCTAGTTCATGAATTCTGGATGTGGTCTATCTCACTAAGCTGATATGCCCTGGTGCTTCACCGCAGGAATCTTTGATGTCTTAGCTGCATATCTAAATATCACTTCCCAAACCATAAATGCAAAACCTGTTCTTTTATTCCAGCATCGTTCCAAACAATGCCCCAAACCTCTCAAGCAGAAAACCCCAAAAGCCTCAGTCACTTTTCTTAGCATAAATTTTTTTGCAGTCAAACCCACACAATTGTCTGTGTCCAACACTGAGAAGTCTGTCAGAGAGGCTATGTATTTTACATATTACAATAATGTGTTTGTAGTGCAGGAGCGCCTGCAGCATTGTGCTAGGCAATTAGTTCAAATCATATATACTAATTACAAAGGTAGCTTATTTCTACATTAGGCACTAAGGAAAAAATAAATGTGGGTTCAGAAATGTGCTTGTTTTCAGAGACTGAAATTTTCACTTCATGGATAAACTCTTTACAGCCAGGGACCCATGTAAAAAGTCTGGGATTTAGCTTTTTTTTTGTATTCTTACAACTCAGGATATTTCTGTTTCAATGGATTATTTTGGTCAGCATGTGCAAGAGAACTGGAGGCAAATTACCATATGTTGCAAATCTGTAGCTGTAATGCCAAGTTTTTGATTCAAGTTTGCTGTTTTCCTTTCTTTGGGATGTAGTGATTTTCCTGTCCTTCACTGAGTACAAGCATTGTTATTTTTTAGCCAGAGAGCTTAATCAAAGTAAATAACTATGGTTTAGGCAGCACTGGAAATAAATTAAGGTCCATATAGGTTCTTATAATTGAAAATAAGTGTCATTATCTGCTGATAGAAAAGCCAACAGAAAAGAGGGTGAGAGAAAGCAAAGCTCTGTAAACAGGTTTGCCAGTGGATGTGGGGTTCATTGGATGCAGGGTTTTCTTCTCTACCTTACAGTCTGTGATTTCCCCATCCAGCCCCTACTAAAATAGCATAGCATTTTTAATTGAGATATATAAAAGAAGTTATATTAAATGAAGTGAGATAAAATTTAGTATGGGGTTAATGGGTTGAATGTAGGACTAGAAGTAGTTGGCTGAAAGCAATTAAAAGTCACACTTGAGCAGTGTATACAACCACAGGAAAGCAATCAGAAATGATTTGTTCAGAAGAAATTGTATAGCTCTTTGACATGATCTTTTATCTGTGCGTACTCTGGTATTTCTGATTTTCATTATTTTTTTCTTTATCCCAGTCTGTCTTTCTGATGCCTCCTAGAATATTTCTCAGGAACTTCCTGAATTTTTTTTTTTTTTCAGTACTACCTGTTTGTTTTGTATCACAGACCCTATATCTCTGTTTGGAATGTTATCAGAAAGCCCATGACACTAAAGGCAAAGTATGAGACTTCAGGGGAGGACAGAGCAGTAGGAAACGCTGCTAACTCTTTTGGGAGCCCACATCCTCTTTGTCACTAAATCTTTCTGTTGACGAAAAGAAATACAGAAAGAAAAGCAGAAAGTGAGAGAATAGATATGAAACATAGAAAATTTTATTATTTATAATTTATTTGTTGGTGAAGGTGAATGAGCTTAATTTGAATTCAGTAACTGAAATGAGAGGCTAAAAAATTTCTACTATTATCCTTTTTAATTCATTGGAATTCAGCTATCAGCTCATGATTAATGAGGAAAGTAAACAAACCCAGCACTAGCTAAATGCTGTACTATATACATACATAGGGGGGGTTTTAGTGTTTCTTATGCAAATTCATATCTTCCTTTTTGTCTTTTTGGCTCAAAGTTTTAAAATCTGCTTTTGTAAGATTATATATTTGGTTGTCTTGAAACAGATACATGCTTTGCTTTGTCCTTCTAGGTCCAGATCCATAGTCAAATTTTTCAGGCTACATGTGGTCACTATTGATACTCTTAGGAAATGATGGCAGGTCATGATATTTAAGCCACAGGCTGTGGAACATGGCAGCATTTTGAAGAGTTAAGCATCAGAGAAGTACAGTCCTTTAAAAAGTTTGGTGAATGGGAGCAGCCGTTGAAACTTCGGTATAAAATTGCCAGGCTTTGGAGGAGACTGAGCTTAAGCATGATGAAGGGTTTTTCCTGTTGATTTATGAGATTCCTCCTGAGCTTAAAGTACTTGTGCTAGATTTCTGAGGGTAAAAGTAGATACTTCAGTAATTGCTACTACGTGTACAAAGAAAAGCTTTTCAGGAATCATCTGGCATCCAAGAACTGCCTTCTTACAGCCTGTTGTTGATTTACAGATGAAAAAATAATTAGATAAGCTTAGAACAAACAGCCACTGCACCTTTTAATTGTTCAAACCAGACAGCCTCTGAAATAATGTCTATAATTAAAAATTCCAATTGTCCAAAGCCACAAACAGGCACTGTGGAGGTGTATCACTCTGCAGAAACAACTCAAAAGCTTCACGCACACCCCAGCCCTTCCATTGCCACGTCTGTTTAAAATCTGTTCCATTCCATCAGTGACCAAACATCATTCCCCCTAATCATGGCTACTTTTTGCCCTGTATAAAGGAGCTAGCTGAGCTTACTGAAGTGCAGATATTTCAACTTCAGCAGTACTTTTAAATATATCAACACAATGCAAATAGTACAGTTGTCTGTAAAGGTGGGTATGGAAATTGGAGCTGGGACAGGGCTGGATCCAGCTGCAGTTTCAGAAGAAGAAGTGGTTCTGCAGCTGCCTCTCCACCACCTGCCCAGGGGAGAACACTACAGTGGGAAGTGTAATCAAGGGAAGAGCCTCTTCCCAATAAGATGAGGAAATGTAATATTCAATCTTTTTGTCCCAGCCCATGCTGCACTAATAAGAAAACCTGTGCACAGTGCAAACAGGTGCCTCTTAGTCCACTACAGTTTTGTCTTCTAGCTGGAATTAGTGCTAAATATGTCATAGCTTTGATAGGTATGTGCTGTACAAAAACAAAGCGTTATGTGTTAAAAACAAGTGGTTTCTGGTTCATTTTTTGTTGAGGAACAGAATCTGAAGATTTTCCATAGCAACTTAGCAGCAGCTGAAAGGAAGTCAAGGTTGAGGTACTTTGGGTTGTTTACTCTGATTTCCAGCACAATGAATTCTCCATTAGGTGTTAGAGACCTCTACACACATTTCCTGAACTTAGAAATCAGCATGGTGCAGTATTGCTTAGAGAGACTTTGATTTTCAACAAATCACCGAAATTCTCACTTGGAAACTTTGCTAAGTTACAGTTGAAGTTTGGCTGAGGCAGTTTGTGAAGACTGAATCTGGGCTGGGTTTATGGAATGTCTGTTAAAGTCACCAAACCCCCGT